CTTCGATCTATCTCTTCATTCGCGCTGGTTTTTCTCGCCAGGCTTGTATACTAAAGAAGAGGGCGCCTCAAACAAACTAGAGTTGCCAGGAAAATTCATGGTCCTTCGAGAAACTCCAGCGCGCATGCTCCCAGCGTCGCGTGACTTCCGCTGTCGTAACAGTAACAACAAATTAATCATATAAATGGTTAAACGTTTTCGAATGTACATGATTGGATCAAAAATTCTAAATCGCAAACAATCAAAATAAAACTCTTGAAAAAAAAAAGCAGAATACACGTGCATTATTATATATCATCAAATCGTTCACTATACCTAAACCTGTTATAGATTACAGCGTAACACATTTTCACGATGGTTTCGATTTGATTAGATGGCTTGCTTTACGCCGAAGCTAATGACAGTTTTACATACAACTAACAAAAACTAGCAAAACACAACTAGCAAATTAAAGAAAGTTATGGATGAAAGCTCAGAATTTAAAACACGGTAAATCAAGATTTGATAACAGTTTTCCAAAACCATATTCGTCATGAAATCAATAGCTTGGCAAAAACAAGTTTTGTTTGAATGTCACGCAAAGCTACTCGAGGACTTTTTGCACTAGTCGTCCCTAATTTTGAAGTGATAGGCTAGAGCAGTGGTTCTTAACCTTTTTTGCTCCATGCCCCACCTTGATGCCCCCTTAATATAAAAACAAATTTGGTGTTGAAAAGGTATAATAATATAATTTAAACTTTAGAAATTTACCAACAAAATAGGAGTTTAATTAATAATAAACTTTATATTTTTAGAGCACTTATTAACACTTTCATAATTTTGTATCGTGTGAAATTCACTAACATACGAACAACAATGCAACTTACCGCATCGCTTCTACACCTCAAAAAGTTAATGTTTAACTGATCCGAATCTAGCAATCACCGGCAATAAATGAATGACAAATTTAAAAACCGTGTCAGACGACTCAGTTTTGAGTCACGGAACGTTTTTCGCACTTCACACCCAAATGAAAAAATTTTCTTATTGTAACATTTTCAAATTGCGCCCCACGTTCAGAATCACTGGGCTAGAGGGAAGGCAGCCAGTCAACACCACAAATTATCAACTCTTACGCTACTCATTTGCCAACAAATAGTGGGACTGATTGTCACATTATAACACCCCTACGACAGGAAGAGCGAGTATATACGATGACAGGGTTCGATCTCGCGAAGATTGCGAGTTGAGCATCCTAATCACCAGGGCATGCCAGCCCCCCCCCCCCACATATAAAAGGGAAAGAAAGTTTAAAACTGATTATTTGGATACATAATTGTTATATTTAGAATGTGATTTACTACACTTTTACCTATACAGCTAAGCTATACATAGATCAAAGCTAACAACTGTTTGAAGTGCAAAATCAAATCACACTATCTTAATATATTACATTTAAAGAAACGAAAAACCAATGTTTAATTTAATAATGAAAAAATTCGTATCATAAAAAGCACTCAGTATGTTAAATAACCAAACTGCAAGTCATAACTAGTGCATACATAAAACTCATATATGACGATAATCTTTAAAGTCAAAAGTAAAAAAAAATCATAACGATAATACACTGATCTACTTATACCTGAAGATATCAATTATGCGCATATCAATAGCATAGATGCCTAATACATAAGGCAGAAGGGGAATGAGCCCCCATTTTTTTCAGTTAATGTTTGATTTAGCTTTTATTGTCCCCCTCCCCAATCTCCGACAAAGTTCGAAAGTTATGCCCAATAGTGAGTCAGAACAATAGTGTAAAAGAAAACATTTAAAATCGTAATCAACACTAACTTCTTACGTTAAAATTTCAAAGAAATACACAGCAATCTGGCACGCACGTATTTACATACAGCTTATGCAGTTCTAAGTAAAGTAAGTTAACATATATTCCAAAACACGTTAAAAGGTGCCTATACGTATCCCTTAGATCAAAATATGGTTACACATTTAATAATTCTGTATACACAAGCCACGTTTACACGTTAAGGTACGTGCAGGTTATCATTATTACAGCATATAATACATAAGCAGGTGGTTAGGGCGCTTGACTCGCAATCTGAGGGTCGCGGGTTCGAATCCCCGTCCCACCAAACATGCTCGCCCTTTCAGCCGTGGGGGCGTTATAATGTTACAGTCAATCCCACTATTCGTTGGTTAAAGAGTAGCCCAAGAGTTGGCGGTGGGTGGTGATGACTAGTTGCCTTCCCTCTAGTCTTACACTGACAAATTAGGGACAGCTAGCGCAGATAGTCCTCGTGTAGCTTTGCGTGAAATTAAAAAAAAACATAAGCACTTGGTTTGCAGACAGTAGCTATAAAGTGTTATATTTAATTAACACACATTTTTTAGTAGACCGAGCCAAGCTATAGCAAATGTCACAGTAGCCATTTGAAACTTATAAGTGTTATAAGCGATGAGTAACTGTAGGAAATCTCCATATTCGTCACATCAAACACATGTTCCTTTTTAGAAAAGAACAACAAGCCTGTGAAGTCAAGTGGCCAGTGTAAACAATACTGATCTTATCAAGCTAGGGTGTGATTCATTTAACAACTGAGACATTTTGGTCAACTGTTAATATATTAATTTCGAAATTCCCTTATCCCGAAAATGTTCATAATCTAAAACGTCCAAAGAACTTCTGTAATACTGGGATTTCTGTGAAGCAAGACATGTGTATGTGTGTGTGTAACTATCCACCACAACACACTAAAACTTAGAAACCAAAGCTCGCTGAATTTAATTATATCCATACACTATTACACTGGGTATCTAGAAAAGATAACTTCAAATGTGAACAACCATAATAAAAGCTGATACATTATCATCGATGCTGAGTTGGCAACTTTACAAACAACCGACTACTTTTATAAACTTTGCAATGAAAAGCAGTGGGTAGAATTAACTGAATTCTCTGTGACTACCTATGGTTGCATACATCATGAAAAAGGAAACAGAATCGTCAATGACTTGTTCTGTTCTCTTACCACTGTTGCCGAGTCCGCTAATAATAAACAGAATTGGGCTTCTTGGGCTAAAGCAAATATTCTGAAAGCTATGGCCTTTACGAACAGATTAATTATTAGACATAGTTACACCATTATTAGATAGCACGTTTTCTGTTTCTTACTACCAGTTCATTCAACATTTGCAATATAGACAGTGTTAGATCGGTAAATGACGTTCTGTCCTTTAATTTCTTGAAACTATTTCTGAGAAAATGCTCTGTTTAAAATCAACGAACTACTTAGTTTTTAAATTACCTACGAGCTTATCATGATCACAGAGAGATACTCATATGTAATTCATGTGATGTATTATAATGTTTGTTTACAGAAAGTACAAACACAATTTTTGGAGTTCCATTGACTACACTTCTCGAGCATGACATTCAAAAATATGCCAGTTGTCGAGTGCCCCTAGTGTTTCAGCGGGTAAGTATTGCAACTCTTTTAAATCTAGAATGTTTATTGGATTTCTGGAAATAAAAGGTTAAATCACGAAAAGAAACCATCAAGAATAAGTTTTGAAATGTTTGTGTGAGTTGTGATTGAATGGAATACTGCATGTTACATTTGTTTGAAATAAAGTTTAATAGTTTAAGTAAATATGAAAAACGTTCCATTACGTTTAATATAAAAATGTTGGGGAAATTGTGTTTTTTACGAATTTATTTACAGTGCTTTTGATAAATCGTAAAATAGAAAAAATTCACACTATGTCTGTTTAATATTCTAACATCTAGTTGATTTATATTTAATGGGGGTTATGTTATTACATAAACTAAGGAAATTTGTAAATTAAATACGTTTTACAAAAGCTAAAACTCGTTAGAAGTTTTATACGCAAGTATTTGTTTAAGAAATATAAATAAGTATTTTTCTAAGCTACATGTTTTCTTAACATCTTGAACAGTAAGTGACGTTATAGGTAGGAAGTTTCAAATTTAAAACAAGTGCGATTGATAAAATATAGCATATTAAAACAACTAAGTCTTATTTCTTTCTTTTAAAATCATTTATATTAACATATTAAAAATTATTAATATCTCTACAATAAAATTAAAAATTCCCAAGTAGTTGCTCACAAAAATGATTTTCTAAAAATAAATATGAAGCCCAATCTATCTCTCGATTCACCATATGTCATCGAGTTATACCAATTTCAGTCACCCTTCATTAGTAACCCTGGACATGGGCAAATCGAAAGAACAAGGCTAGGTCTCATATAGTGGTGAGTTTATATTATATATAACGAATTCCTATAGAAATATAGATTCACAGTGGCGACTAAAAAACAGCCCAAAACACCACATGTACTTAATCGTTTAAAATTTCTTTAAAGAAAAGGGGTTTATCATTAGCCTAAGTCAGCGGTTCCCAAACGTTCTAGTTTTCAGACTACCTGACTTTTTTCGGGGAGGGGGAGGTACTCGGTTAAAGCCATCATAACAGTGTAACTAAACAAAATAACCACCGTTTAAAAATCACTGTAATATTAGTACTAGTATTAATACAGAATTACCTTTCTACATTTTAATGTACGCAGCTGTTTATGTGAGCATAATTCTGTAATGTTGAGTGTAATGTTTGTCAGCTTTAGCCTCAAGTCAGTTTCAGCATTCAACTGACATCTGTATTTGAACTTCAGGGCTACAAGTGATAAAAATCCCGCCTCGCACATGTACGTAGTTGCAAGTGGTACCATGAAACGAACTGCTTTATCAGCAATATCTGGGTGCTCTCTAGCTTTCTAAATCCGAAACTCTAATAGCGGATTTCTTTCAAACTCTGAGCGTAATGTTTCGTCGCTAGAAATCTTCAACAAGCGCTTTTCTTATATAGAGAAACCAGCAGGACAGAGATAATATTTTACAATGCGTGAAAAATACATTTTCCCAATTTAACTCGAAGGTCATATAACGTAGAGTTTTAGACTTTTTCTACTTCATTTATAAGCTTATAAACTTGAATATTTAAGGTCTTAACTGTCAGGTTTGCTCCTGGATCTAGAAACTCTTCGTTTCCGTAATTATGAAACTTTTCCTCGCACCACATGAATGGAACTCGAGGATCACAGTTTGGAAACCTCTGGCCTAAGTAGTTTTGTTCTGGCATACTCTCATAGTGACTTGGATTTAATTCACTTGTAAGCCTAATACCAGAACTTAGTAAAATGTGATAAATGATATTAACAATTGGTTGTGATTTACTATTATTTTACTTATCTTAGCGAAAGAGCCTCTTGAACATGCAGCTTAAGATAATGGTTTAATATTTGAATCATGATAAAATAACAATCTAATTTTTTTGGCAATTTTTATTTTCATATTTCTTCTTGCGATGCTTACGTGTTGCGAGGTTTATTAGTAAACATGAAAGCTATGCTACTATGTTAAGTAGATGATTTAAAATAAATTTCAAGTACCATTACATCACGCATGCGAAAGTTAATGTAGAGAGCGGCATTTTCAGATATCAGTAAATAATTATTTTGCTCAAGTAAGTGCTATGAATGTTTTTAAAGCAACAACAACATGTGTATTTTTTAAAGCGAATAATCATTGCACTTAGTATCATCTTAGCTTAAACCAACATTTTTCAACTCTTTCAGATTTTATTCTTTCTGGAGAAACAAGGCCTGAAGGAAGTAGGCTTGTTGAGGATCAGCAGTTCAAAGCATAAAGTTGAAGTAAAATATGCATTCATCATTTTTATACTTTTCTATAATGAGATTTACGATATATTTTCTGTATTATATATGATATGCATACTTTCTTGTTTCAAAATAGGTAGCATAGTAGTATAGAGTTCATTCTATGTTATTTGAAAAATAATCAATTTAAGCTATTAGTGCTTGTTTTAGTAAGCCTCTTTTTTTTAACTATGTTGGTTGTCCAAAAATAATTCATTTAACTTTCAAATATGCATTTTAGAACAAAATATGCCAGACACCACAATAGAATGTCCTAAAACTATTATAATTTATCTGGCTTTCCAACTAACGTATAAACTGGTTTAACAAATTCCATTATTACTCAGAGCAATATTTTTAGTCTAAACCCAATAATCTCTTACAGCGATCAGCTTTTGCTGCTATAACAAAACAGAAAATCGTGTGATTTATTCAATATATATATAATTTACTCCTTTAATTGGCTATAAGTAAAATAAAAGCTCTTTAATAATGAAAATACATGAAAGCAAGCCTTTTCGTGATGTAATTATGAAAGGAAACAATAAAAACTTATTCCCTTCAAGAAAATTATAATGCATAAATTAAAAAACCATCGACACAAATCGATACATAATGCATGAAATATAAAAAATCTACATTGAAGTCATAGTACTTTAAACAAACTAAATCCAAAAACCTTTACTAACTACATCAAACACAAAGGGATTTAGTCCCTTTAATATAGGCTAATCTAACACAATACAAAACTTAAATATATGCAAACCCTTTACCACATCAGAAGCAAACCTCATCAAAATAAACTATATATATAATTATAGCATGCACTATGAAAACTTTACATATACACAATACAACTATATAAAAATAATGCAAGATGCATGTATACACACAATAACTAATTACAAAAATTGAAATAAATATGTAAAACCTTTATGGTACAAATATGCAAAGCATTCAAGGAAATATACATATATATAGTTAAGTAATTTAAGAAAGAAATAATATTAAGATATTTCTCGTCCTCAACCAGCAGATTCTCAAATGTGGCAGTGTGGCCTTTCAATTCACCACCATGTAGCGTGCAGTGTGTGCTGAGGTTTGGTTAGGACCCTCTTGATAACAGCCATGTCGGCCTATGAATGGCTTACCTTCTTCTAAAGCTTTAGTAGAGGTTTATCTCGCCACTGCAGTAGGTTCTCCTCTCAGTCATAAGAGGAGGATGACATTTCGAGCTAGTGCTCTTCGTCAGATCTTACAGCTTACAACAAAAGGCGCATGCGCAGAATATAAAAATTGTGTGTGTAGCATTTTGAACATTGAGCGTGAAATTTTTCTACAAAATTACATTTTATACATAAATACTACAAGTCAAGAAAACATAAAACAGATTGAAATTAAAATTGAAACACAGTATAGAAAAAATTAGAACCTATAGGAAAGAAAAACGTTAATTTAATTTGTGAATGTCTGTTGGAGCATTAATAAGTCAAAAAATCGAAAAGTTCTCAACTGTATGGTTGTTGGTGGTGAAATGTTTGCCTATAGGTGTATCTTGGTTGAATATGATTTAGATGTTCTTGTGCTCGATCGCCGAGTCAGCGGCCTGTTCGTCCAATGTATAAACTATTACATTTTTTACAAATTATGCAGCAAACGATACATTTAGTGGTACATGTAAAGGATTATCTTATGTTGAAAGTTTTTTCCATATGTATGTGTGGTACTGCTTGTATGTGGACAGATAACACACCTCTTTCGTTTACATGTGTGAGTGCCTGGAGTATCATTTTATTTTTGTTTAAGGTTACTGTGTACCAGGATTTCTCATAGGTTTTTGTCATGTCTGTAAGAAATAATGGGGAGGGAGGGGTCATTAAAAAGAGATTTAGTGGAAGGGTCTTCAGTAAGTGTTGTGTAATTGTTTAGTATAATATCTTTGATCTTCTTGTTGGTCTGATGGTATGTTACCACAAGTGTAATACAATCATTGTGTTCTTTCTAGGTAGAGTTGAGTATTTTCTCATGGGTATATGGACTAGCTTTGGTAGCTGCATCATGAATGACAAAATCAGGGTAGCGTCTTTTAGAAAGAAAGTTTTCAGGTCTTTGGATGATAATGATTATATATGAAAATCCTGAAAACTTTCAGTAATTGGACAGTAGTTGGTCTGGTGGTATTAATATTTTAATTTGATCAATCGAAATAGCTTGCTCTACTTGTAACAAAAATCACTATGAAAAGTGTGTTTTCTCTCAGATGTAGTGTGAGTTACTTCTTACCTTTATCTTTTAATGAAAATGTACTACCTTCCAAATATTTTAGCGTTAAAATTGCAACATTCTCTCACTAATATTAATGAAAATAATACGTGCATTGTATCTTCAAATGATACCTCTCAGGTCAGCTATGACAGTTAACTTCATATTGCAAAGTGCTAACATCCAGATCATATCCTGTGTTTCCATTCACATGTTGCTTGATCATTATTTTTTGTGTGTACTTGATTCACTCATGTTATAAAACACTCATGAATGACTTTATGAAATGCCCATAGGTGTGTGTGAGACCCCAAAATATATTTACACTTGTATATTGCTATATATATACACATATCACTATTACACATTGTAGCATATTCTAGTAGCTTATAACAGACTGCCTCCAGTTCCTGTACAAATTACTTTGGTAACCTTCTCGGGTTACTTTCTGAAACTACAACTTAGCAACTGCAGTTCTGTAATGTGCTGTGATCATGCATCACAGAATGCATAATTACTGGCAGAATTTAGCTGAACTAAAACTTTCAGCTAAAATTCCCATCATTCAGGATTCATATTCATGCTATCACTACTGTATATCAACATGCACACAGAGGAAACACAATTCCTTCACTGCATGTAGAATTGCCAAACATTCTCTGGGTGTGCAAGGAAGAATCTAGCAAGGACCATGCAGCATGCTCTTTGAGTTCTCATCAACTACATCAGGTGAATAATTCTTTTAAAACATCAGATAAAATTTCACGTCAGTAATCGCATGACTGTCCTATCTTCTGAAGTAAACAAAACAGCTGTAATATGATACCTCCTATAGTGTAACTCTTCTTGATAACTTAGAAAGTAATAATTGCTAAGCCCTATCAGTCCTGTTATTAATGTGATCAACAAATTATCATAACTTCTGAGTTTGATTAATCTCAACCATATTGATCAGGAGGTGACAGCTAGACCAAATGTCAAAGCTGTATTTTGCCTCTAACTCTATATCTTTTTCATATGGCTCACCATGAACTGCTAAATAAGTACTTTAAGTTCTTCATTTCTATTCAGGTGAATCTTCAGACTCACTGATTTCAATCTCTGATTCTTGGTTGAGCCAGTTTACTAGGGTCCATCTGTGATGTACGAATGTAGCTTATCCATGTGCTTTTGCATGTCTTGTGTCTGCTATAACTTGTATGTCAATGGACTGATACACCAGAGTTATAAGGTATGGTCCTTTCCAGCTTGATATGAGCTGCATTTGTACTACATGCATGTAACAAAGACAGAACCAGTCTCCACACTGGTACATCTGTTCCTTTACCATCTTGTCATAGCATTCTTCTTTCATTTAGCAGCCTTTCCTAGATGTTCACATGCAAACTCCTACACATCTATTATTGCAGACTTTAAGCACTCCACATGATATTGTGGCCATTATGGGATGTCTGTTGTAGGGGGAGGAACATACATCATTTCGACCAGTTGTTCAGTTGCTCTATGCACCATCGTGAGGTACAGTAGTGTTTATCTCATTTGGTTTGGCCAAATTAACAGACTTGACAGGAATGAACTTAGTAGTTTATATTACCCATTTCGTTAAATCTGGGATGATAATGTGAAGTGAATGTTTTCACAAACTTAACACTTTACATATCTCATAAAACCATTGGCTGCTGAATTTAGCTCCCTCATCCATGCAGATCTCTTCTAGTGCTCCAAACAAAGCTATCCAGGATTCCATCAACACCTCAGCTATGGACTGTACCATAGTATCAACCAATGGATGAGCCTCAGCTCACTTCAAAGACTTTTTCATGGTGCATTCATTGCCTGGGCCCACAACATGCAAATGCTAATAATTATCTAACTGCATAGTCAGATCCTGTCTGTTTATGAACTGTCCTAGATACCATTTGGGAGTTGAAACTATTTCTGCCATGGAGAATCAAGCCATACTGTAGAAGATTCTAAAAGTGGATGGACGCCACAATTAACACATTGGAAGCTCCAGGAAGAGTAACTGAAGAACTCAGATATAACATGAGAATTCTTTGTAATGCAGAAAATTAAAACTCAGCTAGCTCAGATAGAGATGTGTAGAGATGCACATAATCTGGTGTGTTTGTAAAGTTAATTACGAGTGCAAGAAGGTATGTTTTACTGTTGTTATACACCATCAAGCTGTTTTATAGAAGTTCTATCAGCTGCATTCGAATTGAGATGTTTAGCGTTTGTGTGAAGCAGCTAAGACAGTGTAAACTCCTGCAAAAATCTGTTAGATATCCTCTACAGAGGATAGCCTTTGATATCACTTGTTTACTCCTGGAGACTTAACAATACTTATTGCCAATGACTACAAGCATACATTAGTTGTATGCTCATAGCTCATAAAAGCAGATACCATATAATGAAGAAAGAACTATAGACACTGCTTGTATGGTAGGAGGTTCACCATCTTGGTGGATCATGCTTTGCTGATATGGTTAACGAACTTTAAAATCTGGAAGGAGTGAGAGGATATCGGATTACAACATTGTAATAATATTCCCATTATATAGCGAACCTACCTAATCTACCCTTTGGGGAAATCAGTTTACTTGAAAATACCAAAGAGTAGGTAGGAAGGAGGAATTATGGTGCCATGACCAGATTATTATTGTGGAATTTGTTTGTTTTCTGTTAACATGTACATTGCTCTTACTTAAACTCATGAGTAAGCGAAGTTAAAGAAACACTACTTACTTAAAGAATGGTATTTTCTGCAAGTAGAAGTACTCAAAACAAAGAGGGAGAGTTAGTTGCTGAAGAGAAATGGTTTTATGAAAGAGTTGTTGAGTCTACGAAAAGTCCTTTTTTGCTGCAAAGGTCCTTGAGTTTGACTTGTCTGCAGCCTAAGACTCGGGAAGATCATTTGATGTATGGTGCACCTGGAGCAGAATACTAGTCACTGACCATGAATATCAGTCTCAGTATAAGGTAAAAAGGAATGACTGAAGTCAGCTAGGTGGAATGATATCTGGCGACTCTAAGACTCTATGGGGCAGTCTATACATGACTCCTAGGCCATTATCAGCCACAGTAACACAACTCCAGCTTTAGTGAAGGACATACAAGACTACTTCCCAAGGAGATGAGACAGTAAGCAACAATTTTGAAGACCATAAACCATGGGACAGTGGAAAGCCTCTCTAAGCTAGGAGGTAACTGTGGATCACAATGAAATGTAGAGTTGAACAGAGTTGATGCACGAACTAGTAGAAGAAACTCACTGTTCTGCTGCCCTGAACCAGAGACTGGCTACTCATCCAAGGATTTTTGTTCCTAAGCATGCCTACTGCATTGTACTCACAATGTTGATTGCATTGTAACCAGGTATTAGTCAAGGTATTATCCTCAAGGGGGAGACTTTAGCTATATCTACATGATTCTGTAAATAAGGAAAATTAGACTTTGTTCCCAATGCTCAAAGCTGTGGCAAAAAAATATCTAATCCTTTTCCTGAAGCTTTTAATACAAGCAATTGCCTGGAATGGCTGGTATCAGGAGCAGGCAGTCAAACACTTGAGCTTGAATAGTACAGCCATGGACTCCATCAAGCACCCAAGTGAAGTGCATCTGGAAGGTAGTGATACAGTCAGGACCAAGCTGTACTGACAGTTTGAACCAGTAGAAAATTGACTTTTCTTTGCTGGAGGTTCCAGCACTGGCATACCCACAACAAGACAGTGAGATCCTGTTGAATAGTAACACCAGTGAAAGGAGAATTAGAACAATTTTATAGCAGTACAAGAATGGAGGAGTAGAATGTGTAACTGAATCAGCAAGATACATTGCAAATTAATTCTGATTCTGTAAAAAAGAAATTAGTCTGTTCTAAAAACTTAAACGAAGTGGACACAAAGTGTGATACACAATGAAAATAGTCTTTATTAATATCACAAGTACACACTTGTATTGGATACTGGACAGTCGTCTTTACTGTAGTTATGAATTGATCAGGCTGGTTCTACTCACTTAAGATTTGCATCAAAACTGACCGATTCGCTTAAGATGATGTTCCAAACTTTTTAAATCTAATGTTACGTGGTTGAATTGGCAAAGTCTGACTTACCCAGAGCAACTAGCTCTATCACGTGACCGGTCATTCCTATTCAAATATAACGATATTTTTAGCCACGAGATGTCTCTTGAATAAGATGTTATCTCCAAGAGAATGACATAAAACAAAGGTAGATAGAATATAATCAACTTAGTGACTTTTTTACCATTGTTACGTGAAAAATGTTTCATTAAAATAAGAAAATATAAAACAAGTGGTATGCGTGCATACCCCAGTAATTCAGTCTTTTAATAAATACCCTTTTCAGTATTAATTAATTTTCTTTTCTCAGATTCTTAAAAAGGAAATCGAGGCCAGCTTTTATTCAGCTCCTCATCAAGTTGAAAATGTTTTGAAAAACTGTTCCCCTCATGATGTCGCAAGTGTAATGAAGCATTTCATCCGGGACCTTCCAGAACCACTGCTTACCAATAAATATATGAATGCTTTTCTACATATACACGGTATGTTAACCTAAAAATATAATATAAATCCAAGAGCTAGTATACCCACATATATAAATTCAATAATCAGGATGAAAAAAAGCCAAGTTGCTTGATCTAGTAATTGATTTTTTACCACAGCATTTGAGGTTTTTACACATATATACTGTTATTACTACAGAGTGTATAAATGGTAGTTTAGGTGTTGGACATTGAAGAATAGAACACCTAACTCTGTTCTTTACTTTAATTTTTAATTCCATATGTGAACTTGGAGAATAGGGGCTAAACTTCATAAACGGTAAGTCGAATAACTTTGGACAGCCTTTTTCCTGATATAATTCTGTCATCAGGACACAAACTTTACTGTCTCATTCTGTAGCTTTTACCCTGTTTTAATTCCCTTGTTTTATGTGTAGTAGACTCTTTAATTTCGACATAGTTGCTGGATTTATTTCAAATTTCATCGAAGATCACGAAATATTATTATATTACACTTTCTTTCCTTTAAATGTTTAAATTTACATAATTATTTAGCTATTTGTGTTGTAATAAAAACTTCGGTACGTAGAACCTGTGTAAACACCTTCATGTGAAATGCGAAACGCACAATCAATGTTGATTCTCTAAGAAATGCATTTTCAAAGCTATAGACACTGTTTTGTTTTATTTTAAATAAATATTATATTTATAATATATATTATTAGATTATATATTATTTTAGTCTTTATAGACCCTTGATAAATACAGCAATTATCCAGCTAAACAGAGTGCTGGCTATAGCAATTTAATATTACATTAATAATTAATGAAATAAATTTTAAGTACATTAAAATGTAAAACCCGTCTGACTTTTACCATAAATATACACAGCGTGGTCACAAGTAAATAGACACCACATTTTCAGAAAAAATTAAATTTTCCAGTCATATTCACATGAATTGATATATTTATAATTTAATTTGTATGTCAAGAAATGGACTTTAGAAAATATTGCAAACTTTTCTTTAGGCTTATCTTTAGGAACAAAAATCTAATCAGTGTAATATTCTACCATCTAATTAATAAAGTTTACTAAATTCCCGTTTCAGATATTCACGATCCGTTTAAACAGCTTCGAGCTTTAAACATGCTTGTGATGCTGTTACCAGATGTTCACCGTGAAACTTTACTGGTAGGTTCTTCTAACTTATACATGCATTCTAATTATGTTTTCTACTGCCCAAGAAAAACATCTCCACAAATAGGGACTTTAAACCAAAACTTATTGACAATTTGACCAATTTGTGAGTTGGTATTCTTATTTTCTTAATCTAATCAAAAACATCCCAGGTGTGAAAAAAATGGTGCGTCCAAAAAAGGATTGAGTGTGCGACTTAAAGGAATGAAATCAAAATTGGCGGCCAAACTGTTTGCTATACTTATAGTGTTGATAACAATTTTACAGCAAATATTCATTCATTAGTTAGCTAGGCCGCGTTTTTTGTTCAACTTGGAGCATGATGGTGGATAAAACAAAATACTTGGCTTAGCTAACTAATGAATTCATACTTACTGTAAAATTCTTAACAATGCGAAAAGTGTAGCTATCAGTTTGGCCGCCAATTTTGATTTCATTCCTTTACGTTACAGACTGAATGTTTTTTTCACACCTAAGTTGTTTTTGATTAGATATCATAACTTTTTGTCAATACACACCAACAAACCACTCGATAGTAACCCACATTAGCTTCAGGAACGCAACCCTATTATTCGGAACAGACCTAACTAGATTCTTTAAAATAAATGGCGGTAGTTTTTCCTCTCTAAAACAGTGGTAATAGATCCCTTTATAGTAACGTCGTGGAATTTAGATTAACAGTTTCTCACCATTACCCGCATGCTCTCGTTACAGACATATCAAGCATCATTATTTAAGCTAATTGCTTAAGCTAATATCACGTGACGCTAAACGCTCTTTAATCAGAGAATTTCATAAAATTACCAAATTTGTGCTGAAAAGTTGGCATGAATAATAACCACCCACTCGTATGATTTTTTTGAAACTTTAGCTAGAAACTGCTAATCTAATTTGCTTAGCCTAACCAATACTTATGTATGTGCACATGCTTTCACCTTATAGTTTTGCTGGTCTAAATCAGCCATGTTTAATCTGAATGACTAAAAACGGTACACCTTTACTCTTAGGTGAAGCTGTAGTAAAAATTTGAGACCAATAGCTCACGGGAATTTTTTGCGTAGGCGTGCACAAACATTTTGGTCAAAATTGAGTGGTTTTTGTTGAATAACTTTGCAATTGTGACACCTAATTGTAGGCTGTAAAGATCTATCAATGTACAAAATTTGAAAAAAAAATCCATGAAAGTTAAGTACATTTTTGAATCAAATATAGTTTCCGTACTTTCGATGCGAAGAAAAAAAATATATAGGAAGAAATTCAATGAAAATTGGAGATTTTATATCTTGTGTAGTTCTTAATGGTTTGTATTGAAATTTGATATGTGAAGTAAGACTTCAGTATACCACATCAAATGAAATTATGTGATAGTTTGGATTACCACAGTCTCAGCTACAGAAAGTGGAAAATTGCTAAACTATCACTCCTGTTAATAACACACAGAGTGTCTTGCAGGGTGTTTAGGCCGCTCATCACACTACCATATGTCTTGATCATCAATATACTATAATTCTACTTGTCAGTACGCATTATAAGCATGCGCAGTGAGAATTCTACCATGAAAAACCGGAAAGGCGCATTATTGCACTTGATACGACCAGCGTGCCTGCGGCAGAGAGCTGCAAAGTTGAGTAAAGAAGTCAGTACAACTGCTCTATGAATGAAAGAATAAAAACAGAAGGCGGATGCAAATATACTTTATTAACCATTATGTACAACAGGATTAAAAACTTAAAGTTTTCATAAAAGTCTACTGTTATGTCGTAGAATAACATTGTAAGTTTATTTGTCGATAATATTAAGTACAGTAAAGTTTAGTCCTAATTAAACTAAAGTAAAAAACGTACACAGGTTAGAGTGTTAATTTATCTCCTTATCGAAGTTAGGCCTAACATTTGTTGAGGTTTTATACGGTACGGCCTATATATTAGGTCGTCAAGGAATTAATGTCGCGTTTTGGAACACTTTCATTACCCCCACCACCACCACAAAAAAAAGAAAAAAACGTACATCACGTATAATAGTTAAACGAACCGCCTAAACGTCAAGTTAGTTAGCCTATATAATGTGTAAAATTTAGTGTACTGCCATCCCTTATAGTGATGGCACACAACGAGACACACACACATTTGGTATGTAATGTTGTTTGAATACAAAAAGGGAAACAACGCCTCTGTAGCCACAAAGAATATAAAAGAAGTTTATGGAAATGTTTTGAACGTTCGTAAGTATCAACGATGG